TTTTGTGGAAGAGAGAAAGAACTGGTGTTGATTTCTGTTGATTCCCCCCCCCCCCCCAACATCAGTGATTCTACGGCTTTTAAACGTGAAGTGGACTGTTTATCTGAAAGTGTGCTGGCAGACTGCCACCATATTTCTAAGATTAAAGAAAGGATTGAAAACAATCAGCTTTCCGAGGAACTGAAACCACGACAATATGTTTCTGATTAATTTACAAATATATGTATATATTTAAGGCTAAACTACAGAACCAGAAAATTCCTACTAGTTAGTCTATCACAGGCATTCTTACACTTAATTAGAACAGACATCATATTGAAATAATAAGCATGGGAGGCCTTCATTTCTTCTTTGATCTATATTACTAAATGTCTGACTGGCTCAGATTTAAAATAAACTTTGGTATGTTAGCACTTGAAAACTGGAAAAAGACCACAAGTAATAATTTGTTGTCAGTTTCCACATTCTCTAACTGAAAACTGTAGTTTTGCCTGTACACTGATGAACGCCAGGCAATGTTAGTCCAGTCACCCCTGCAGTCGCTAAACTTTCTTATAGGAATATACTCTAGTATGGTAGCAATGATGATAGATCACTTCGTCATCATGGAACTAGCTGAGATGAATTAAAGGTACAGGTCACGGCTTTAGCTGCTTTCCACATCTCTTGCAGGTTAGTGTCATTACAGCCTTAAATACACAGGTATGTACTGGAGTAACATGGAGCTCCTTTTTTCTCTGAACATCTAAGGGTCATGATTTCATGATCTAAGCCCAAATGCATCACAAATGTGAAGGCAAGATTTTAAGCTATTTACTGATGGCTCTTCAGTATGACTTTAAAGTATTTTTACTGTATAAATGTTGTCTATTTGCTTCCAATAAATTAAATTATAATAAACAGTAGTGTTTAAGTGCCATCTATGCCCAGCCTAGTAGGGTTTGGTTCTATACTTAAGTGTTGATATATATGTAGGTAATAATTTTACTCAGATTAAGGTGCAGGTTGCAAAGTTTCACATAAGATTAGTTTATTTTCTTATTTAGAAAGCTGAATTCAGAGGAAGGAGCACAGAATGGAGTTTCTGATCAGGAAGTGAAAGAATCTAAATTATTCACTCTTAAAAAGCATAACGAGTACAAAAAGCTACAGTTTATTACAAATGGCAGGATTAAAGAATACACTGACATTGTTTTTTCTCAGCCTATTAAAAGCATTTGTTAATTGTCTGTTTAAACACGGGTCTTGGTAGCATATGCTCATAATGCCCATAAAAAAGGAAAGAGCTTTGAAAATCTCACCACCTCTAAAAATTCCCATTCTATTGAGCATATCTCATCACTTTATTGCCAAGGTAACCATGGGAATCTCATGAACTCTTTGGTGCTACCGAATGGACAAATAACCAGTGCCGCAAAACACCTAGTCCTCTATCTACAAATGATAAGACCATGCTTCAGACACAGGACTGAGCTCTAAAATGGATGCACTCCTGATTCTATGTGATGACTGCAACTCATTTAGGAAAGAGAGAAACCATTTAAATTCCAGAGGTTTTAGAATTCAACAGCAACAGGAAAGTTGCTACGGGCATATTTCCCTGACAGACTATGCATTGGTCTCCATTTAAATCTTGGTCCTAGCTATCTACAACATCACCCATCTCATCACATCACAAACTTTTTGATCTCTTAACCATCTAACACTACCTAAAGTGGTGAAGGAGAAGTGGGACTTTCACATACGGAATTGCAGAACCAAGATTACTAAGCGTGCATTTGGAAAAGATTAAGGGAATCTCCTGGACCAAAAGCTTTTCGAACTTTCATTAAAGCTTACCTGCTCGATCCAGCTCTCCTAGAACAAATATCCTTCTCTGTTATGTGCATACATCCTTCTAGACACATTGTAATAGTTCTCAAGCATTGATGCTAACATTCTAAGCAGAAAGATTTTGTTATATCTCTGTTAATTCCTTGAGAAGACCACTCATATTAAAAATGGTGAGAACTAAAGCACCTGGACAGACAGACCGAGCTGAAGAATCAGAGTTACTGTGAATGTTCTAACACCAAACACAACAGTGCTCAGTAGCCCTGGAGCTTCTCTATCATTAAAGGATAGCCATACTTACTACTGGATAGCATAGAACTGATTTGAGCCATATTCTGCTAGTTAAGCTGAAGCAATAAAAATTAAAAAGCAGAGCTAGACTAGATATGGCCCAAAGGCCTAAACACCCCACATCTGCCATATTCCTGACTCTTGCTGGTCTGACGAAAAAAGGACCAGGAGGACCCACTTTTCTGTGTTTTGCCACTTGAAAGACATCAGGTAATGCATTCAAAGAGACAAGCTGATGTGCTAAGGAAGTTCAATATACATGAGAGGGTGGCTGATGACATATGGCTGCTTTTAGACACAACAAAAAAGAAAGATGACCAGCTGTGTGGATTGCAGAATGAAAGCTTGTGAAGCACATTTACAGGAAAAAAAATAG